AGCACAATAGTCTAAATGTATAAAACGTCTTCTATATAAAATTCTCGTGTCACAATTTTCATTCCAATACTCCTCCGAAACGGCTTGACCGATTCTCATGAAATTTTTTGAGCATATTGAGTAGGTCTGACAATCGGCCAACATATATTTTTAATCCCGCGCGGACAGAGTCGCGTGCGACAGCTAGTCTTATATATAAAATTCTCGTGCCACAATGTTAGTTACAAGAATCCTTCGAAACGGCTTGATCGATTTTTATGAAATTTTATTTGCATATTCAGTAGGTCTGAGAATCGGCTACTATCTAATATTTCATTCAGTACGTTAGTAGCATTATGGATTCAGGACTACCGATCTAGTAGTCATGGGCTCAACTCTAGTTACATCTACTAAATATTAGTGAATCATGTTAATACTAGCGGTCGCACGGGACTTTGTCAATCCAGCATTTAAAAAAAGTTGTAGCGTATAATATGGCCCGTGGAGCTACCTTCCCGTTCAAGTCCCATCAAAATCGGTCCAGCCGTTCCGGTGATTACCCGGAACAAACGCGGCACCCACGTAAATATATTACTTGTAATAATGACATTTTTGGACGTGACATACAGACATACCAATTTTAATAATGTGTATAGATGCATAGATAAACAAACTAAACGACCTTTATGAATGTTTTTCTTATTAAAGTATTAAATATCGCCTTCTACTTGTATTCAGAGGCCTTGAGTTAATTTTCCTTCAAGAACAATGTTTCTTAACTCTATAATTGTGAGAAGTAATAAAAAATATCTCAGTAGTGTGTTGTTTTATTAATAATAAGACATTTAATCCGTTCAAAAACATAACAACACCTATAACACAATCAAAAAGAGAAAAAAGAAAAAAACAAAGAAGTTACAATGAAGCGTTGCAATGCAGAACAGATAGGGCCTTTGCTCAGCTGTATGTTTATTATTATTATGTATGATACTAATATTATAAATGCGAATGTTTGTATGGATGGATGGTTATTTGAAGGTTTGGCGTACAACAGAACATAGTCTGGAAGAACACATAGGCTACTAATTATGTTTTTTTCTTAATTCCGCACGAACGTAGTCGCGGACGACAGCTAGTTTCCATATAAAAGATGTCTAAGAACTTTTAATATATACAATATTGCGTTATAACAGAGAAAATGTTTTATAGATAATGCAGTAGTCGGTAGGGGACGCTACTGCAGTATCGATCGCTCTCTCGACTCTAACCTTCGGCCGTTCGCTGGTCAGATATAAACATAAATGAAACAATGCCACCACTCTTCGTTTCCCGAGAGTATTTCATGATTAAACACTGCGTTAAAAATCGTCACTAACAGCCACACTCAGAATTAGTAATAGAACGCTAAGAGAGACATTTTACTGTAGATTTCTTTATTAAATCTACAATTAGATACTTCCATAGCGATCAAATTACTTTGAGCATAGCATTAAGAGCATTGAGACGTCGGTGGCTCAGTGGCCAAGCACTTGACTTGCAATCTGCAGGTCCTGGGTTCGAATACCGCCATGTACCAATGTGTTTTTCGATTTCCGATTTCCGATTTACATATGTACATTTATCCGAAGTTCTGACGGTGAAGGAAAACATCGTGGTGCAACCTGCACATATCTGAGAAGAAATTCAAAGATATGTGTGAAGTCAACCAACCCGCACTTGGCCAGCGTGGTTGACTATGGCCTAATCACCCTTAACTTAGGGTAGGCTCCGAGCCCCTCGGTGGGGACGTATAGTGAGCTGATGATGATGATAGCATTAAGATAATTTGTCGTTAATTCCAAAAACAATAACAGATTTTTGATGTCTTTTTTTTTCTTTGCAAGGAAAGACCATAACTGGATCGGTTACCCTCTAAATGCTATATTATACATCTGGTTACTTTCTTTCTATAGGTTAAGTCTGAAGCCCAATGCGAAAATAATATTTTGATGATCCTACCATCGATGATCAAAGATGATATAATATAAGGTTTGCGTCTCAAATTAGCAAGTTTTTATACGTTACAAAAGTCTTTATAAAACGGTAATTGCTGGCGGAACTGAACAAACGTGCGTTTATTCTAACCTTTTTATGCATATGTCATAACGAATGGCTGAACCATCGGAACTTATTGATGCGTGTGAAAAGGGCAAAGGTGAGCGCCACATCGAAGTTTAACAATCACAAGGCAATCATAATGTTCTTTGATCCTTACTTTGGGTAATGTAAATATTTAATCTGTAGGATTTTCATTCGGTTTTACTTACTATAGACATGTCTTTGAGAATCAAACGCGAGACATGTATTCTTACCTTTTTTGAATGGTCTTTAGGTATATTGGTGTCTATTGCCGAAATACTTCTACAAATTCATAATGTCATCCCTCTTATACCCCTTAAAAAATAGAGAGAGAAATATGTTTTATACAAAAATTTAAGCCTTGGAAATTCTAGTTTACTATTTTCAACGTCTTAATTCAACGATAATATAACCTCTTTTCCAATTAGATATTGTTTTAATTCTTTTTTTGTGACCACAAAATTAAAATATAATTAATTGTCGTTTAACAGATTTCAGCAAAATATGTGCAGTTTTTTTTTCTAGAAAAAGTCTACGCTTTCAATTTCGTTACGAAAGCAAGGCACGTTTTCTAGTTGCGGTACAAAGAATATAATTTAAAAAAGAACCCCGAGCATATTTTATCCGCCTTTTCGATGTTACTTTGCCTTATTTGTATGAAAAAAAAAACTCACAGAAACTAAACGAAATCGTGCACACAATGCTGTACAATAACTTTGTAAGCCGCAAACGTAAAAAGAACTCTTTCAGTTTACATTTCTGTTTACATATGAAAGGGTTGCTGGATATTTTTTATTCTACTTTACTTTGCAGTTAATGTAGTCGGAAGTTGAAGTTTAAATACAAAAATATATTTTATATGGATGTTCCGGCACTGAAAATCTACCGTTCTGTCTGTTTCGAAATATTTTATCCGCGGGACAGTTTTATAATGCGCCAGTAATTTCTTGAAATGTAGTTTTACTAGAAAAAAGATGAGAAGGGGAAGTGAATTTGACGAAAAGGTTACGCAAAGATAGAGAACATTTACCTCTTTCTGTGCGTCCTTTCTTCTTTCGATAAAAGGTAGACAATGCATCTGCAATTGCGGATGTCTAAGGGCAGCGATCGCTTCGCTATTTCAGCGAATTCGGGTGGCCGTTTGCTCTTTTGCCACCGCATGATATAAAAAAAATGAATGAAGGTGTCACCTGCCAACATCTGTACGAAAATATATTGTCAACCCTCTCATTTTGTTTGAAAAAAACAGAGACAACAAGTTTTTTACCGCTCCGGCTGTGCATGACCAGTAGGAAACGTCATCGTAGACAAATAAAATATTGCTGAAAAAGGTAGACAAAACCTATCTTGTGAAGGGAGTAATATTTATATTTATTATTTAGTTGCTTTTATTATTTCGCGTTGATGCAAGAAATCATAATTATATGCATGTAGCCGTTGTTTCTGAAGATTCCTGTTCACTCTTTATTACGTTCCTTTGTTAATTTTTTTAGAAATGAATTTCATAAAGTTATAGAATTTTTTTGGTTCAATTTATAAAATTGTCGTAACTTTTTAATGCCGTAGAATTCTTCATACATCAATTTATAACAAAAGTTTCGGTAATATGAATAATATTAAACGCACATTTGCGATTAACCTTTCAACCGAGAGGAAGCGGAGTGAGCGATTTTTTTTTTATTTGAAATAGATTGTAATTGGAATATTTTTTTAAGTGTGCCAGTTATAACATAAAAAATACTACGATAAGTTCATATCCTGCAAATGGATAGATAATTACAACATGATTTAAGAATTAGACAAAATTAATATTGCATTAAAATTTCAAAGGTAAAGGAAACAACAATTAAGAAACGTATCTGCAATTGCGTATGTCTATGGGCAACGGTCGCTTCGCTATTTCAGCGATTTCATGTGGCCTTTCGAACATTTGCCACCTTAATAAAAAAAAATAAACAAAAACATTTAAAAAAAATTGGTTGTTTGATCATTTTGTCATTAGGTTTTTGTTTTTCTATTTCAAATACGAAGTTTGCTTCTTGATGTCATTACTTTTACCGTGGATTTTCACTCCCGAAAAAATATACAAAAGCATATTGTGATCCCATTATTATAAAGAATAACAATATGTTTTCGTGTTAACATTTCGGCAGCAGAATCCTACGGCTAGGCTTGTCGTACACAAGGAAACGTAAATCTTCGAAAGTAATAAATACTTGAGTTCCGAGAATCGTCGACGCTAGTCGTCTATTCGGTCAGTATTGGCATAGCAACAAAATGTCAATTTTAAATTTGTCTTTGCCATCTTGAATATCGCAGCGACTTTTCTCACGGTGAGCTTGACAAATGGATTGTGAGCGACTGGCTTAGGCGACTAAAGAACAGTGGTACTACATTTTGTCGCCGACGATGCATTCCAGACATGATCCATGCTTTATGACATTTAAAAAATCTTTATAGGGAAAAAAATCATTTTTCGCAAAATTTGAGGACTCTGTCTCCTATACTAGTTGAAGCTGTGTTTCAGGAGACGCCTTCTCTTATCTATTGCTTAAAGTTATTAATAGTCTCTTAACATAGTATCTGTATTGAAACATATCTGTGCATTATATTGCGTTAGCCGCTTAGCGACTAAAATCACCTAGTTTCGAAGATTTACGTCGCGTTGTGTACGAAGGGCCTTATATGACTTGCTTGCGGTGTCATAAACTTTTTACTATATATTTCTATTCTTAGAGTTGTAGTAAGACATGAAAAATATAGTTTACATAATATATTTTCCAATAGTGAGTTTAACAGAACATTTTATCAGTAAATGCTAAATCATTAGTGATTCTTTTCATTAAATGTGTGCGATATTTTTTTACTTATGAATTATTAACAGGTTTTCTGTTCTTTTGCAGATGTAACCATGAAAAGTGCGCTAAATAGGAAAAATCAATGTCTTCACTGAAGATAATGGGATATTTCCACAGAGCACCTTGTTTGAATAGGTTGTCATCAAAGGTAAGGAATAACTTAAGATTATTTACAACTTACATTAACAGAAGTAATCATAACATTACAAGAGCGTCTGTGGCTCAGGGGTCAAGCGAGTTTTTCAATTTCCGATTTACATATGTGCATTTATCCGACGTTCTTACGGTGAAGGAAAACATGATGCAACCTGCACTATTGGAGAAGAAATTCAAAGATATGTGTGAAGTCAACCAACCCGCACTTGGCCAGCGTGGTTGACCTTATCACCCTTAACTTAGGGTAGGCTCCGAGCCCCTCGGTGGGGACGTATAGTGAGCTGAAGATGATAACATTACATTAAAAACACTCCCCATGACGCATTTATTATTATCTTGATAATCAAAAGAACTAAATAATAAAAAGAAACGATCGTTAAAACGATTCAAATGATCCCAAACTCGATTAGGTTGCGTTGTTTTATTGCGAAATTCCACCTTCCAGCTCCATCATCAGATCACACCGGATCATAATATTTCATTGTCACGCGATTTACATATTTAACAGCTTAATTAGTACCCGGGTTACGATTTATGTTTAGTTTGAAAGATTTGATAACAAACATCTAGACAGTTTAACTAAGTAAGTTTTTAAAAACACTTTGCACAAATTACACATTGCTAAACTTAAATCTTCATCAGCTTTATACGTCACCACTGAAGAGCTCGGAGCTTATCCTAAGTTATGGGTGGCTACTAAACTTAAATAAAATAATAAAAATCTTGTAAAACAACACGTATTTTTTACATCTTTCTAACACATGAGTTTAAAGCATAGCCTGTATTTAATGCAAAACGTTTTAATCAATCATTAAATTGAGTTCACATTAACGACCGTTTTTCAATTATTTTTAATGAGTTCAAATAGTAATGAAACATTATATTGCTTTGCATTTTATTGCACGTTTTACGAACATAGTTTGTACGGAACTGATATATAAACACGGCTAAACACTCAAGTATATTCGTCCGGTGGCGGCACCGACTAGTTTCGAGCCCATCGGGGGCCCTTCATCAGGATCAGTGAGCGACGGGCCGCGTCCGCGAAATAATACCAGTACCACTCATCCTGTTGATGGGCCCCCGATGGGCTCCAAACTAGTCGGTGCCGCCACCGGACGAATATACGTGAGTTTTAGCCGTGTTTATATATTAGTTTAGTATAATGTCTCACGAAAGTTTGAATAATTTTATAGTTTGTACGGCTTCGAAAAGGTTATAATGAAATCGAAACAACGGAAATTTTGAGGTATTTCTAGTATGTTTTATAGGTGGACCAAAGTATTCTTAAATTTAAATCTTTATCATTCTTATAAACAGTTGAGGCTTCACAATTTTTAATAGAAGCATGAGCATAATAACAGCGTGCAAGCGCGATTTCACAATTCGCCAAAATCAGTAAAATTTTAAACAAGATTTACAAAAAAAAATTGCTAGATAAGTCCTAACATCAACAAAACTGGACTCGACATTGGGGTCAATAGGCGTCTTAGAGACTGGTAACTCACATCAAAAATAAAAGCAAGTTGTCTTTGGAATTCGTTAAGAATGCATTAAAAGGGGGCTATGACTTTGCTCATCAATCTTGATGTGAATTGAAGCAAATTCAACTCGAGAAGTATTAACATACTACAATAGGGTAAGCCAGTAACCGCGGCTGCGTATTGCGCAACCGTGTGTCGGATCATTGTCATCTACTGATCTCTGTAATTGGATAGGTCATTGTTTGGAAATGATAGCTTTGACTCCGTTTCGACAAAGTTGCCTATTTAAGTTCCCAAAAGTTATTTATTAGTTTGAATCTTCGCCACCGCTATTAACCTCAACCGTCAAATCCGTCGCCAAGCCGTCGGAAAGAAATAGGCAAAGAATACCACAGTTTATAGCCTGTCCATGTGTACGATCTGTGTTGTCATTTCTTAACTTTTAATACATTCTTCTTCTGGCTTTTTCGTTTATCGGTTCAAATTCTTGTATATCAAACTAAACATATACAGCGTGTCCCAAAATTCAACAATAAAACTGTAATGGTGTATAGCCAGATTGATTACTACACGGGGAAAAGTACTAAATAAAAAATGACACGCTGTATATGGCCTTTTCCAAGATAAATTAGATCAAAAATGGGTGTTAAATTTCACGTTCATCAGTTCCTGTAGAGTTACCGTATTACGTTTTCGCTTCATGTATTAATATAATGGTTTATATTATCAGGAGTCGAGGAATATGTATACACATCAGATGTGTTGATACATCAAATGTGTTGATGGGCGCGGGGGGCGCGGGAGGGGGCGGCGGGCGGGCTGCACGCGCGCTTCGCCTGCTGCTGCTCCTGGTGCTGGCGCTGGCCGCTGTCGAATACCTCTTCGGCTCCATTCTGGACGCCTCGCCCTTCAGGACATATCTCTACACACCGGCCTACAATACTACACAGTCAACAATCAAGTAAGTTGTACAACAATTAACCTGAATGACTGAACCTTCGATATGGTTCATATTTACTTTTATATTTAGTTCAGCAAGATTACGTACCCGAATCATATGACAACTTTTTTGTAAAAAAAAAATAGAAATCTATCAAGGAGTCATACAATTATTGGAAACAATCAACCCGTTTTAACTGCATGCGGTCTTTCGTCCACACACTGGATATTACGATATTCAAGAGCTGGACGAACTGCTGCCAAAGATAATATTACAGTATAATATTTCCAAACCAATACGACTTAGGGACCTTCAAGAAACGAGCATACCACTTCCTTAAAGGCCGGCAACGCATCTGCAATTCCTCTGGTGTTGCAGATGTCCATGGGTGTCGTTGATCACCTCGGTGTTCCCGCCGCCCGTTTGCCCCCTTTTCTTATAAAAAAAATAAATAACAGTATAGTACTATATAATTACTATATAAACTTATAACTATATTTTAACTAAAATACATTGTTACAGAAACATTGAGCGAACGCCCGGCTGGCCTAAAAAATTGTCAATCATCGCGGCCGCAAGAAAAAACCCCAAAGTGTCAAACACAACGCAATTTAGAAACGTAACTTTTAATACTACTGTATCTACAAACAGTTCAACCAAAGCACCTTTTATCGCAAACATGACGCGACAAAATATAACCGTAGAATCGAGTACACCATTTTTAATAACGAAGATAATGGAGGGGATAAAGAATCTGGTGACCACTGAAGGACTGAGCCCGAGAATCAACGAACCAAAGTTACCTCTATGTGAGGAAATGCCACCTGATCTAGGTAAATTAAAAGTACATAATATTTATAATTCCTTCATAGCTCTCGGCTCTCATAGCACCTTGAATTATTGTTTTTTTATCTGTTCTTTTCAAAAACCTCAGTCACAAAATTAAAGATCATCACGCAATAGACTACAAACCATTGCTTCTCCGTTGACGTGTGAATCACCGATACGATACACTTGCTTTTTAGAAACAGTACGGTGCTTAATTAAACAGTGATTTATGCTAATTGTTGACATTATTTTAGGTCCAATAACAGTGAACAAGACAGAGATAGAGCTAGATGATATCGCAACGAAATATCCAGAAGTACATCGCGGTGGTCGATACGCTCCGCCAAATTGCACAGCGAGGCATAAAGTTGCAATTATTGTACCATATAGGTAAAACAAAACCTCTTTTCTAATGCTATTTATTATTTTTAATAAAGGCTTATTATTTTTAATTATACCGTTTATTTCCTCTAGTTTTGTGCATTCTATTTTTTCTTTTCTAAGATTTTGTAAAGATCTATAACTTTCCAGAGACCGGCAACAGCATTTAGCGATATTCTTAAATCACATGCATCCGTTCCTAATGAAGCAACAAATAGAATATGGAATATTTATCGTGGAGCAAGACGGTGAGTTATCTTTAGTATTCTCAATAAATGTATATTGAATCTTTTGAAATTGTAATTTAGCTTGACATTGATTCGTTCCGGCAAACTATTCAGCTACACTCATACTGCGAAACTGAATATAATATGGAGCAATGCAAACTTCGCATCTTCGTAAGCATTGAAGCATGAAATGATCGAAAAGTTTCGCTTTATAATCCTCGTGACTCGTTCGAAATTTAAAACAAAGAAGTGGAGAAATATAAAAGAGAAAGTATTACTTTTATAGACGAGTGCATTCATATTGTTTCCGTGGATCATTTAAAAAGTTTTCAGTCCATCGCACTTATTGTTAAGCATTAAAATATACGTAGATATTTTCAAATGTCCTCATTTTCATTGTTTGCACAGGTAACACTGATTTTAATAGAGCGAAGTTGATGAACGTAGGTTTTATGGAAAGTCAGAAACAGAAGGCAGGTGGTTGGCAATGCTTTATATTCCATGATATAGATCTGCTTCCACTGGATCAGAGGAACTTGTACTCCTGTCCTAGACAGCCTAGACATATGTCTGCGTCTATTGATAAATTGAATTTTAGGTGAGTCTTTGACTTTTGCTAATGGTTTTACTACAAAGATGTTTCGATGTTGAGAAGTAAAGGAATTAGAATATCTGATTTTTCATATTAATAATGGTATTTTAGGTTACCTTATGAAGAAATATTTGGCGGTGTATCAGCTATGACACTTGAGCAATTTACCAAAGTAAATGGTTTCTCCAACAAATATTGGGGTTGGGGCGGAGAAGACGATGACATGTTTTACAGGTGTTTAATTAATAATATTCAATTTACATACATAACGTATTAAATTTACAGATTTTTTTTAAATTAAAATACAAATTTCTTGACAGATTAAAAAAGATGAATTATCATATAGCGAGGTACAAAATGTCAATTGCAAGGTACGCCATGTTAGATCATAAGAAGTCCGCTCCAAATCCAAAAAGGTGAGTTTTGATATCATTATATCAGAATTTAAATAATAACAACAATATTACGATTGTTCTATAATAATTCTCTATTCACAACTCCAATTTAAATAAATTAAATACAAAATAAAAAAAATATTAAAGAATTGGCCACCTCAAACACCAGATAATTATAAAACATAAATGCCTTTTATCTGAAATGGCTTCAATTAGTCTTTTATAAGTTCTGGTAACTCAAATGCGCTGTATCTATAATCTAAAATCATCACCAGATCACTAAATGTCCCCACTGAGGGTCTCGGAGTCTGTCCTAAGAACTATAAAATGTAAATTTTTTTTTATATATATCATAAGGTGGCAAACGAGCGAGCGGCCTCCTGTAATCGCTGAAATAGCGAAGTGACCGTTGCCCAAAGACATACGCAATTGCATATGCGTTGCCTACCTTTTATCGACGGAGGAGAGGATGCACAGAAAGAAAATATCCTCCCTTCCCATGCATCCTCTCATCCGGAAATTCCACTTCCACTTCCCATCCTTCCCCTATAAGAACAAAAGGTGAAGAGGGAAAGTGGACTAAGTTAGGCCTCCGGGACGCAAAATTATTCCCGATACATTCTTCTAACTTCTTCAAACAAAACATTCTTCACTAACACCGTATTTCCAGGTATCAATTACTCTCACAGACAAGTAAGACATTCCAAAAAGACGGACTTTCAACACTGGAATATGATTTAGTGGATGTAGTTCAACATCATCTGTACACTCATGTTATTGCAAACATAGATGAACACAGCTGATGGCAGTACTTCGCCAAGCTATTGTTTGGCGAACAGCGGTAACGTAATACCCGATCTGTGCTTGTACCTAGTGTACCCAAGTTGACTTGACTACAGTGGAATCAGACTTTTATTATGTGTTTCAACATGAGTTATGTAAACAGAAAAATATTTGTGAAAGTTACTAAGTTATCCAGTGGTTTGTGTGATTTCTGAAGTTAGTTTTTTTTTTAATTTAACTTTATTTAAGATCAAAAAATGTTTTTACAGTAAGTATTTTGTTTGCATTCCAACTCATGATAAAATCGCATACATGCGGACGATTTAAGTGGGTTAAAAAATATTTCAGTGCTAAAGACGAATCTTTCTGTGTACCCATAGTTAGTGATAAGTAATGTATTAAAAATGTTAGAGTGACAAACAAGGTTTTAGCCGAGTTAAGGTAGACGCGCATTACACCAACTTGTTAATGCATCTTTGGTATTAATAAAAAATATATTGTTCTCGATCTCGCGGCGTTTACCCGTAATCAACATATGTACGTCGTGTAGGCGCCGCAGTAAGGTGCGTCTAATGAGCGTTGATCTTTATGATGCTATACATCATGTTGAAGTGTAACTGTATGTTATTTATTAAATAATTTTTATTCTTTACTGCTTTAATAGTATTTAATTGCGTTTTTTGATGATTTTTTTTTTGACGATTCCTATTTTTTTTAATCTTATCATTTATCAATTTGTATCCAGAGTTTTATTGCTTTATTTTAGTAGTGCGGTTGTTTTATTTTTAGAAGTTTTTTTAATTACGCTAGTCGTTGTGAGTTATCGTATTAATAATTTGTATTTTTTTAACAAACCCTTCTCGGTTTAAGGTCAAAAATGTTACTAACATGATTTTTAAAATTAAAACGTATGTTCCTTATTTGAGATAGCCTAAGTTATTTAACAAATCGGACCTTTAGTGTCAACGCCGTCTCGTCACCTCTTCGTCTATTCGGCATCGCCCAGTTTCGCGATCGTCATGGCGTTGACTAGCTACCTTTAGGCATTGCCGATTGCGCGGGATAAAGATATACATTTGATCGCAAATCGTTTTTAGCATTCTTGTTGAGACGACATAACGTTTTGCTAACAAATGTATATATTTATCCCTATCAATCGTCGACGTCGAGGTGGCTGCGCGTGAACGCCGCGGCGGTCACGAGTCGGAGCTGGAAGTGGAGCAGTGCGATTTAACTTTTAAGGTATAAATAATTAATAATGAAATTGAAATTATTGTAATAACGGCCTACAATGACCTGAGAGTGTCAATGATCATAGCTTTATGTTTTAATTATATTCAATCGTATTTTTTTTATAAATACTAACAAATACGAACCAGTCATTTTAAAACAATTTACGTCAAACGTTGTAAATATTCTTAAAGTTAACGACGCCATTTTGTTTGTAATGGCGGTTTTAATTGGACATTTCGCGTAATTAGAGTTGACATTTGTTTTTTTTTTGGCTCTTTAATGGCAACTGATTAATGCCAATATTTTTTTTTGATTATTAATTAAAATGAATTGTTGAAACTGTAATAACTAAGATTCAAAGTTGTCTATACATGTACTTACTTATATTTAGGATCGAATACTTTGTATAAAGCTTTTTGTAGATTAATTTACTATACAGATCTCGATACAATTTTACTATAATATTTATTGTTCGAACGCTTGGTACATATTCTTCGTAAATACATAATGATATTTTTGTTTCTGAAATTCACTATAGTATGAGGTTATTTAATTCTTTATTATTTTAATGCTATGTTTTATGTTGTATGACGAATAACAATAATTATAGAATTTAAGATTTTATATTAATGGTACTCATAGAGATCTATATATCTACAAAAATTGAATCTTATAGATGCTAGTTTTGTTTTTAATTTATGCTCTTTGACCTTGAAATTGGCACTTTACAAAGTTACCAATTGGTGACTTATTTGGTCTCTCTTGAGACATTTGGAGATATGTAAAAATCTTTGAGTACCATCAAATAATGTTCGTTCGAATTGAAATTACATATTAAGAATACAAGGAACAAATATCTAGTGATTTAATACAAAGACAATATGGCGCCCAATTTCTGTAGAATCATGCTTTGTACATGAAAGAAAATCTGTCAGTTTCCGTTGTAAAGAATTGTTGTCTCTTTCATTCTCTTTGATAAGAGAGAGATGATATGTTTTATCACGAGTGTTGCTATTCTAGTAATTTCATAAACATATTTTTACTTTTCTACGAGTTTGTCAACTTTATTCTAGCCAGTGACTTTTTATATTTTTTTGTAGCCAATAAGCGTGTATATTTTATAATTAAGAATATGAATTGTGATAAATACGATTGAATAAACTTTAAAATGCGTAATATTGTATGTGGTTGGAGAATACGAACTTTTTATCTCTTTATTGAATTATCTGTAAATATAATAATGCTATTAAACAATTCATCAGCAATAAATTTGTTTCACTTAAACCTCCTTTATAAACCAACATCTGTAAACCAAAGACACCTTTGAAATAAAGTGTAGAGTGACAAGACAAGTTTTTTTTTATTTGTTTTTTAATTTACTTCCTAACAACTCGGCTATTATCAAAGAGCCAAGAGACGAATCAAAAAACATGATTTATAATATCTCGTGGGCCTTTACCATTGCAATATTGCCATCCTTTTCAATCTCTCTGAGATAAATGAAATAACAATATGTAACATTCGGAAATATTTGCACATTCATATTACAATGACGCATCGTACGCAATTAGACACAAGTAGACGCAGTAATTGCATACTAAACTACTTTCGCCTTTTACTATACTCTGGCCTACTTTGTATTTTTCGCAAGTACGAAGACTTTTCATATTTGCTATGATATTAAGTAAGCTATTGCGACTCCGGTCTCGTGGTGAATAAAATAATTAGTAGCCTGTGTGTTTTTCCAGTTTACATCCAAGCCATATTTCATTAAAATCCGTTGAGCTATTCTGTAGATACATTCTAACAAACATCCATATGAACATTCGCATTTATAATATTAGTAAGAAGTTGTGTAAAGCATTAGGTATATATCTTAAGAGGAAATACATACTTTAATCCTTGTATACTTATTTATATGTATGATGAGGAAAAATCGTTCTCAACACCATAAAAAGTTAGCAATGAATAACAAAGAGTAGAATGAAATTCTCTCAGCTATGCGCATGCGCAAGAATCCAAGAGATTTTAGCATTCTTGTTGAGACGACATAACGTTTTGCTAACAAATGCATATATTTATGTAATGCCCTTTCATTCAACTCTCAGCTACGCGCATGCGCAAGAATCCAAGAGATATCAGAGGAACTTTTGACAAAGTTCTCCAATCGGATTTTAAAATAATTGAAACTTGAGAAATATTTACTAGATATTTACTAGTTTCGAACATCATTTAAACATTTTCCAAGGATTAGTATAGATAACTATGTCATTAATTATCTTTAAACCGAAATGCGAGAGTGAAAACTTTGTTGGGTTGTATGAAAGTTTTGCCGTTAGTCGCGCCATCTGTCGCCATTCCGGTTCCAATAAACTTATATTTATTGGTATAAGTTTAATTAATAATTCATAAAATAAATGCTAAAACACGTTAAACGGTTCTGTCATATATTTAACACGTGACTGATAACTTCTTAAAAAGTAAGCTTCCACAATATTATATAGATAATATTTTATTTTTAATCCGCGCGGACGGTATCTCTCAGCTAGTTCATAATTAAACATTAAGACATTCATAACAAAACAGAGCTTTGCGATATTTAACTTACAAGTACAGTGGTAGAGCCCGCTTTAACACCTTCGCACGAATTGGCCTGGCTCGCCCGGTGAAACACCACGACCACACAGAAGACAGGCGTGAAGTGGAAGCAATTCCGCGTTTCGTCTGATGAGTGTGCGTCCCGGAGGCCTAATCTAGTCCCCTTTCCCTTCCCACCCTTTTTCTTATAAGGAAAGTATGGGAAGTGGAAGTGGACTTTCCGGATGAGAGGATGCATGGAAAGGGAAAATATTATCTTTCTGTGCATCCTCTCCTCCGTCGATGAAAGGTAGGCAACGCATATGCTATTGCGTATGTCTATGGGCAATGGTCACTTCGCTATTTTAGCGATTTAAGGTGGCCGCTCGCTCGTTTGCCACCTTATGATATTAAAAAAAACCTAAGTATTATAGTTTTATTTCTTGCACTCGTTCCATAACTAAAAATGAATATTTGTGTTAGCACTTCTTAAGTATATTCGATTATGATATCTTTTTAAATTAAGTTATAGTGTTGAAGCTCAAAATAAAGTCCTTAGCCAAGCCGTTATTTAATATAATTATTAAACTCTTTTATATTGAAAGTAGCCAATTGAATTCGCCAAAAATAGCAGAGTGAACATCTCTATGTGAAGACACTTTGTATACCTTTAATCGACAAAAGGGGACGCACAGAAATAGGATATTTTCCTTTACTATGCGTCCCCTCCTCTACAAGAGCCACCTCAACATCACAATCCTTCTTTATAAGAGAGGGGAAGAGATGGGAAAAGGAAAGAGAACTTAAAAAGCCTCTGTCACGTACTCTTATCTGTCGGAATGCACAATTTTTTTTTGGAATAACAACTATAGCGTGCTGTACCGTTGTTAAATGTCTGTCATATACGGTCGTCCCTGTCATTTTCTGAAAAAATAAACAGAGATGATTGTGTTTTTGTCCAGGTTTTGGCAATATAAACGCAGGGCTAACTTGTGTAAAAAATCATATTTCGTCACTAACGAATGAATAATCTTTGTTAAAAGCACGTTACAAACTTTCTCACATTATTCCTTGTCAGCGGTAAAGTTTTTAGTTTGACTTCGTTCAGAGAAATTGCCTTCGTCAGAGAGAAACACGTTTTAACTTTAGTTCACTTTATTCATAAATGTTACCGATCGATTGTGAATTTGACAGGATCTTTGAATATCTTACGTCAGTTTATGAAATGACCAATCATTACTGTAAAATTCTACGGCGACAGAACACTTCTATTAATATTTATTGCATACTAGCTATCGCACGCGACACTGCATATGTATTCTTTTAGAATCCATGCGGCCGTTCTAGAGATACCTTCTAACAAACATTCATCCAAACATTCTCATTTATAATATTAGTAAGAAGTAAGCTTGTTGTCATAATTTTTTCAAACATAAAGAAAGGGAGGAGTATATGTTTGTATACAAGTTTATCAACAGTGAAAACCCGTCATTATGTGTCAATCGTAATCATTTGTTATGCAAACTGAAACTCTAATAAAACGAGTGTTATTAGTAGTTTCCTTACAAAATTCAATTAAAATGTTCAGGTTTACTCGTGAACGGTAAGCATTTTCAATTATTTTTCCGCCGAGCTGGTAAAAATTAAGTAGCTAAGTTTTAAAGTTGAAATCCGATTTTATTTCTTTAAGACTTAGCAAATAAAGTTTATAATTAAACCAATTTTTCTTACACTTGACTTTATTATATGTAACTAGCTGTCTGTCAACTCCTCGGCGTGGAATGAAAAAAAAATAGTTCCTGGCAATAATTCGATTTTTTTTAAAACCTTCCCTAGACCTCCACGACCATTTCGAGACCGAAATAAGAAAAATCCATTCAGCCGTTCTCGAGTTTTAGCGAGACTAACGAACAGCAATTGATTTTTATACATATAAATAATAGTTTTAGTTCTACTACCGCTCTGAGTGTGATTTCTACGGCGCCTTCTTTTTGTCGAGGGGGGGGAAGAGTTGTTAATAAGGTTATGCGTTTTGCGCCCAACCGTTCAGCTGGATATTGTTTCTTGTTCATTTCAGGCTAATCATATACCTTACTTTCTATTTGAAAAGGGTTTCTACAGTCAAAATCCACAATAATTTTTACTCTTAATCATAGTACACATTAAGTTTTTATAATAAATAAAGCTCAAGAGCTCAAATCTATCAAGACGTTATATTTTGTTCCGGCGTCAGCGTAATTATTAGACGGTATCCCACTTTCAGTAAAACTGGGTCAAGAATACTCAACTTTTTAATCTTCATTGCAAATATATAAGGCATAATTTCGTAATTCACCTTTTAAAATATATCGTTGCCATCTTAAGTGTCAAATTAAAAAAAAAAACTAAGGTATGAAAGATAAAGTTTATTTATTTAGTATTATAAATAAAATAACAGCACAAAAGTAAACTCTCGACCTTGTTCAAACCTTGTTATCATAGAAATATTGTCAAATTACTATAGCGCTAGGCAGCAATCTTTTAAGCTTGTAATATTTCTATTACTTTTTAGAAGGCGCTAAAAGTAAATTAGGATTAATGAACGAAGGCAAAACTTAAAATACACTAACACTAAAATATGTGCAAATTGTTTCAAAAGATTTTTAGCGTCTTCTTAATGAAAACCTAGATTATTTTCATTTCAAACACGAGTCTGCCCTTGAGTATTGAACAATCTTTTTGTAAGATTAAAAGCTAATGATCGAGTACGATATAATTAAAAACTTCAGTAATAGTTCAGAGGATCGTATTATTCGAGTTAAAAGAGTTCATTTAAAATAACTCAACGTTAAATACGAAATTAATGAAATGTCGTCAAACGGACTTCATATACTATAATATTTTGACATGTTTAAATCTAAAATTAAAAGACTAATTATCAGAATTCGATTAGATAATAATTAGAGATTCTATATGACTGAAATCTTATCTATTTACGAAATTTGATTACTCAGTGACGATAATAAAATAATTCGGAAAACAGGAAAGCGGAGTTATAAATAATGAGTTACAAAGAAAATATTTATGGTCTTATGTTTATAAAACAAAAGTTTTTTTTTTTTAAATTATATTAAATTCAATTTGTTCAATGATTTGATTGTGATACACGTAGAGCCTAAAATAATACAAAAATATCCATAACTATATTTTACTAATATTATATTATAAATATGAATGTTCATATGGATGGATGGATGTTTGTTTGAAGGTATCTTTAGAACGGCTGCATGGATCTTGCTGAAATTTGGCATAGATGTAGAAGGAAGAACATAAAGGCTACTAATTATATTTATTTAATTCCTTGCAGACAGAGTCAAGGGCGACCGCTAGTTATAAAATTATAATCAGCAACTATTCAATTGCAAGCGCTAATAAACTCGCTATATTATCTATGAAAGTGTGTTACATATTGGTAATATCGTTTCCGATAAGCCATGTGTTTCAACGCTTTTCATAAAACTATACCCGCCTATACTTAGTTGATTATCAGTGAGTGAGGTGTCTGTTTAGTGTTGACACGTGTTAATCCTTTTAAAAGAGATATTTATTTATATTTTTGTAATAAAATTTAGCTTAGCATTTATCTGACTGTTATGAAGTTAAATAGTTATCGTGCTTTTGGTTAACGTATAGATTTAATGTAAGTAATATTCTGGTTAATTTTTTACTAAGCTTCAAAATACGTTCAGACTTTTATATACTACTTATCCCGAACCTAATAAATATATAATCATTATAAGTTATTTACATTTGTTAAATACTTTTTAATAACCAATTATTAATCTGTTATTTATCAGGTTTAACTTGGATTTTGATTTTCTATATCATAGTTATTTTACGAAAAATGATACGTGAATTTTGTATATAAGGTACCGAGAGTTTCCATAGATGGAAATTCTTACATATTGCTATCTCTGTCATTCTTTACACAAAAACTGAGACAACTATATTTTTTACTCGATAGGCATAGAGGGGATGCATTTGTCGCGTAAGTTTGTTTTATGTATATAAATTATATATTCAATATGTTATTTATTCTTATCTTTTGATATTAAATATTATCAATTCCGGTAACGATTATTCCTACGAAACAAAATTACATCGAAAATATGTTATATACGTCACTTGACCAAAGAGTAATTAAAGAGTGGTATCCTCACAGAAAGGATACACTCTTAAACGACTATGAATCGCATAACGCATATATAGTTTGTCAAAGAGTAACCGTACATTAAAAAAAGGTTATATCAAAAATGTATTTGGAAAATTACTAGTTGTTGCTAAAACTAATTTCAGATGTGGCCGTTAGGGACAAGTGCAGTGGAGTTAGTTTGTTGATTGGATTTCTTAGTTCCACGCTAGTTATTCTATTTATTACACAATGCACAATATTCCGTGTTGCGATAAGATCAGATAGTATAATTAATACTATTGATTAATAAGTAACAGAGTGTGCATTTTATTATGCAACTAGCTGTCTCCCGCGACTTCTACGTTGCCAAATTAAAAAAAAACTTAATTAGCCTATGTATTTATTCAGGTTATGTTCTACATTGATGGCAAATTTCAGCGAAATCTATACAGCCGTTCTGTAGATACCTTCAAATATTCATCCATCCATCTAAACGTTCGCATTTATAATATTAGTAAGATTAGTCATATGAACTAGAAATAATATGACGTCATTTTCATGATAAAAACAATCTGCATACATTATCATTGATAAAACATCGTACAACCGTTAGAGCCTTTGTTGACGATGGTACCTCTAATGCTTTTCATCGTGATTGTACGAAAGTAAGGTCTTATAATGTTGTACATTTAATAAGTATTATTAAAATTAAATAAGTTTGTTTGATACAAAATAGTCTTAAATCTATGATATTAAATAAAATATTAAAAACGAATAATTAACTAAAAAATATTATTAAAAGGAGTGCCTTTAGGCAAGGTTCCGAAGTTACTGGCAGTGTTCCCTTTGAATAGCTATACTAATTCTTTGTCCGAGGTTGCTGCCAGCTCTTCGGTGCCCTGTGATGTCGATTAACTTTTTTGACATTTCCTTAAAAAGCCTTAAAACGCTAGGAATCCACGGACCATGGGTCTTGACGATTATTTATATCATTTAAATTACTGTAGAAGTAAAATTAGTAAGTCAAGCAATTTTTCTGTAACTGGAACATCGCGTAAGGAGCTGACTGTACAAAAACTAAATTTCATGCACAAATAAAAAGTTGAAAACCTTTTGTTACTAGAGAATCGTATATAGGTTATATGTAACTGCAGATATAACCTAAAATTATGCACTACGTAACTATTTATTTCTTTATTTTTCAGATGTAACAAATATAGAGTTTGTGACTACACTAAGGATGGTTGATCAACGTATAGCAACTGTTTTAAATAATTTATATTAGAGGTAAGTCTGTTTCAATCTTTTCCCAAAAACCTTAAAATAGACCTAATTAGTAGCCAAAGTGGTCTTTCTACTTGCTCTACATATATGCCAAATTTCAGCGAGATCCTTACAGCCGTTCAGGAGATACCTTGTTATAATCATCCATCCATTCATCCATATCATACCAGCTATCGCTCGCGACTCCGTCCGCGTGGAATTAAAAGAAACATAATTATAAGCCTTATTTGTTCTTCTAGACTATGCTCTACTTGTATACCGAATTTCAATAAGATCCATGCAGCCATTCTGTAGATACCTTCAAACAAACATCCATCCATGTAAACATTCCCATTTTTAATATTAGTAAGAAGAAAGATTATAAGGATTGTAACCTTTATTGTATACATGTAGGTCTAATTGATAATTAGCTATTATACTATAGGAATAGAAATCTACAAGTGCATGCCAAATGCGTCAATGGGCACCACAAACGGCGGCTGGCGAGGGTCGAGGGTGGTGCGCTATCTCTTGCTACTGGTGCTTGCTTTAGTAGCAATGGAGTACCTCTTCGGTTCCATTCTGGATGCTTCTGTCTTGAGGTCCATACTTCACCCGCATAACGACTCGCAATCTTCTTTCTAGTAAGTACTCTTGAATTTTTGAGGCTTCATGACTTTAAAGCGACACAAAATAGGGTAAATGACTTCGTTACAATATTAATACGTACTTTAATGAAACTTCAGTGTATTTCATTTGTATCCAAACATTTTCGCATCACGGGACAGTGGTTTGATCGGTAAAATACCACGACGTAACAGAAGACAGGCGTGAAGTGGAAGCAATTCCGCGCTTCGTCTGATGTGCGTAACGGAAGCCTAAATAAAAGAATTAACAAAACAATTGATCCAATAATTATAAAAAAAATATCCTGAAATATTACAGTTCTATATTTCAATGTATAAATCAAACTTTTTCTTTAGCAGTGCCATGAAATTTGATTGGGCAAAACAAATGAAGACAACTGAAGATAAAAAAAACGAAGTTAAAAACATAGCTGTAAATAAAACCATAGATTTAAAAGACAATGAGGCGATCGAAGACCAAAAAGACAATACGATATATCTGGCTACAAAGACTGAAGATGGATTAACGAATAAAACAATAGAAAAACTTAATTATAATACAACCGAAACACCACTACCACTTTGTGAAGAAATTCCTCCTGATCTAGGTAATTTTTCTTTCATATTAAAAGCCAAAATATAATGTACCAGTTATTTAAAATGAATCCAAAATAATAAAACCTTTAACTATTGTTAATTCTCTCACACGTTTTCGACAAAATAAAAGCTTTAATTTCAATCGATGATTCGTTTTTAATCGGGTCTAATGGTCGCACTTTTAAGACGGTTATAATTTAAAATTTGTTTAAACACAAAATTACTGCTGATTCTAAAATAAAATCTAATCATGTAATGGTTTCAGGTCCAATAACGGCGAATAAAACTGAATTAGAGCTAGATTACGTAGAAACAAAATATCCAGAGGTTGATCCTGGTGGTCAGTATTCACCACCTAACTGCACAGCTAGGCATAGGGTAGCTATTATTGTACCGTACAGGTAAGCATATAATTTGAAATTAAATACTGGAAAAATAAAAAAAATGGTAACGCAAATATCAATTAACATATTCAGGACAGTTGCGATGAATTTGTAAAAAACAAACTTAAAATTGTTATTATAAATAAATTGTTTCCAAGTATTATAATTATTTGATAGAGCCGGTAAAGCAGATAAGTGTAATCAAAGATAACTTCATAAATTTAACTGGAATTTCGAATCGTATTTGTTCAAACGTACGCAAAGTTATAGCTTACAATATTATTCCTTCTTAATATTTTGCAGAGATCGGGAACAACATTTGGCCGTGTTTCTGAATCACATTCATCCATTTCTGATGAAGCAACAAATCGAATATGGAATATTTATCGTGGAACAATATGGTATTTATCTATTCAATTAATACTTGAAATAATAGTGTAGTACTCAACTGATATAAAAACGGCTAAACACTCACGTATATTCGTCCGGTGGCGGCACCGACTAGTTGCGCAGGCGCGCAGTGAGCGACGGGCCGCGTCCGCGAAATAATACCAGTACCACTCATCCTGATGAAGGGCCCCCGATGCCGGTGCCGCCAGCGGACGAATATACGTGAGTGTTTAGCCGTTTTTATATCAGTTTAGTATAATGTCTCACGACAGTTTGAATAATTTAAGTGTAGTACTCATAAGTTGCATTACGACATTTTCCTTCACCGTAAGAACGTCGGATAAATGTACATATGTAAAGCGGAAATCGAAAAACACATCGGTACATAGATTTGAAACCAGGACTAGGTTGCAAGCCAAATACTTAACCCCTGAGCCACCGACCGATCTTTTATATTGTCGTTAAAATTGTCATAATTCTCACCGTTGTTGTCTTTGATATATTTCTGAATAATCTTATTTTCTAATTTTTATATAACATTACAGGTAACAAAGCTTTTAATAGAGCCAAGTTGATGAACGTAGGTTTCGTGGAAAGTCAGAAACAAAAGGCGGGCGGATGGCAATGCTTTATATTTCACGATATAGATCTGCTGCCGCTGGATCAGAGGAACTTGTACCATTGTCCTGAACAACCTAGACATATGTCTGCATTAATAGATAAATTTGACTATAAGTGAGTTTTTTATCTAAAGATCTATTCAATCCAAAATTACGTTGTAACTAAATACAAATAAGTTAAACATAAAAAGACATAACGTAAAGTGAGTTTATATTTTAGGTTACCTTATAAAGATATATTTGGCGGAGTATCAGCCATGACGGTAGAACAATTTACAAAAGTAAATGGATTCTCAAACAAATATTGGGGTTGGGGCGGAGAAGACGATGACATGTTTCGCAGGTAAATAAAGAATAAAAATATTAAAGATTCTATTATATTAATATTTTAGTTTACATATTAAATACATAAAGTCTTTGATAATATTAAAAACAAATAAGCTTTTTTTTAACTACCTATTGCCTGTGTCTCCGTCCACGCAAAATTTAAAAAAAGAATTAATTAATAGACTACGTGTTCTTCTACACTATGTTCTATATCTATGCTAAATTTCATCGATATGTGTTCAGTAGTTCTGGAGATACCTTCAAACAAACATCCATCCATCTAAACATTCGCATTTATAATATTAGTAAGTATCTTTCTTAAAAAAATATAAGATTTTTATATCTTTTTCATCAGGTTGAATAAGATGAATTACCATTTAACGAGGTACGACAACTTATCAATAGCAAAATACGCCATGTTGGATCACAAGCCTTCCGTAGCAAATCCTAAAAGGTAATGTTTATATAATTTTCTTTATAAGATACTAGTTGTCGCCCACGACTCCGTCCGCGCGGTACTAAAAAAAACTTAATTAGTAACTTATTTGTTCTTCAAGACTATGTTCTACATCTATGCCAAATTTTACTGGGATATTCTCAGCCGTTCTGGAGATACCTTCAAATCAACATCCATCCATCAATCCATACATCCAAACATTCGCAATTATAATGTTAGTAAGAGTAAGATAAGTCTATTTATTACTTCTCTTATACTAAAAATTAAGTAAAATCTGATAAACTTAGCAATAATATTTTGAATCACATCGCGTTGAAAAAAAATTTAAAGTGACTCGTAGTAAAGTACATAAACTGCGGTTACTTAATCAGTCGCTGAGTGACCACGACTCTCATTGCGGTAGTAAAACCATGTTTTTTCTTGGTGTTTAAGATGTTTCACCTAACATGGGTTTCTGAGACCGAAATTCTCGTTTAAAACATATTGTTTTATACAGGAATTTCGGTCTCAGAAAACAACAGTTAATATTCTTTCCAGATATCAATTGTTAACTCAGACTAGTAAAACATTAGAGAGTGATGGACTCTCGACACTCGAATACAAACTTGTTAAAGTAACCCAACATCATCTGTATACGCTTATCGTCGCCAATATAGATGAGCCCAGCTGATGGCAGTACTTCGTCAAACTCTTGTTTGGCGAACATTAACCAACACCCAATGCATTGCCAATGTGCTCTCATTGTTACTGTGAAATTCTGCTGCCGTCTTACTTATTGTGGTCTCTATTTTTTCAAAGAGAATGAGAGCGATGGCAATATGAATTTATACAAGTGCTGCGTAAACGTATTTAAGATTAATGGTTAATAAAGACATGACAGGATTCGAGTGAATACAACGCTGACAACCTAACAACCTTCTCGCAACCGATATGATGAACTATTTCTACTAAAAAATACATGGATAGGCTATAAGCCATGGTATTTTGTGCCTACTTGATTTTCACCATTTTGGTGCTGACGGCAGCGTTTGTTAACGGTGGTTAAGATTCCAACTAATAGTAAATGAGATAGAATAAGGCGTGTTTAAGTAGAACGTAGTAAAAGGTGTTCTTTCCAAGCAACCTGTTGACCAATCCAGCTATAGAGATCAGTGACCACCGTTGGAGAGTTAACCTTAAAAGTTTTCTTGTGATATTCTCGGAGTCGTGAACTGTATTTTTGTTGCAGTGACAAAGACTTTTGGAAGCAAATGTTCATAACGTGTTTTTATGTATTAATGTTACAAGTGTAAACGCATAGTATATTATAAAATAAGAATAAAGTTTGTGATAAATAGATTAGATTCGTTAATAAACATATAATCCTATATTAAAATGTATGTGGTCAGAAATCTTATCCAATCGCTACTGAAAACTGTTAAATCAAAATATAATAACAATTCCAATATAATAATTTAGATGCTATTCGTTGTTTTAATTTACCCTCTTCGTTGTATATCATTACTAGCTGTCGCCCGCGACTACGTCTGCACGAAACAAAAAAAAACTGAATTAATAGCCTATGTGTTCTTCCAGACTATATTCTACATATATGCCAAATTTCAGCGAGATCCATGCAACCGTTCTGGAGATACCTTCAAACAAATATATATCCAGCCATCCATCCATCCAAACACTTGCATTTATAAAATTAGTAAGACAACTTTAGTTTGCATTGTTTACCAGATTTTTTTTCTTCGATTAATTTTTATCACCAGAACCTCTGTTAAGCACGTGACTCTTCGTTGCCATGGTAATATAATGACATGACTATAACAAAATGTCAGAAACACCATCCCATATTATGTAGGTTATATTTTTATGTTTCAGTAAGTTTTCTATACGTATTAACAGGTATGTTATTTTTAGTTATTACAGCAAAGGTATAATGTTATATATTATGTTCAAGAAATAATATTTTATTACATAAATTTTTTTGAAGAAAGGAAAACCTTTCAAAAGACGAATAAAGGGTTAAAGAACGCCTATCATAAAGCAAAAAGTATATAAAGTTCCACTTTATAGATATTTGCTATACCAATATATCTTAAAATAGCATCCAAACTTAATAGCAGCTCCAAATTTGTAAAAGACAGTGCGGGCATTACAATTTTAAGTATCGACGCGACAGAAAAGTATACAGGAGCGAGAAACAAGTACTTACTTTCCCGCTATACACAGTAAACCTACTACAGTTGCATCTATATGCGTAGACTAATTGGAGCTAACGGCAAGCTCCCATAAAGTTTGAATATTGTGATACTAGACTAGGAACATTTCAAGATAAAGTCGATTTTGTACTTATAATATGTGGTATGTTTTATTTAATTCCAGTAGAGTTATTGTTTAAAATGCGTGGGCCAGTAACCTTCTGGTGGTTGTCACAAACCATCCGCTTTCTTTTACTTCTGGTCCTGCTTCTATCGACCGTGGTGTACTTCCTAAGCTTACTTGACGTCTCTCTATTAAGGTCATACATACACCCGAAAAACGCCACGAAATCTATCTAGTAAGTGATATTTTACGTCACATTTATCGTTAGTTTCTGACATCAAAATCTTTGTATAAAAATATATCTTCATCCCTGTCATTATCTTTAACAAAACAGAGATAACAATATGTTTAAACTGAGATTTTGGTTTAAGAAATCCACGATTACTGATTACATGTTGTTGATAAACGGCGCAGAATAAACTAATTTGAAGTACTTTTTTTTACTATGTTTAGTATTGGCTTTATTTTTACTTAAACATGTCTGCAAAACATTATTCTATAAAAAAAATTTTCTCAGTATTTGTTTCGTTTCAAGTTCTCAATTTTTCAGCTCCAAGACATCCTCTTTGTGGTCTCAAAAATGGCCAACTGAAGCTAACTTTGAGGTTAAAAACGTAACGTATAACAGAACTACGTTTAACAAAGAATCTAATCAAATAAACAGTACTAATAAAAATGTTGTAATTGCAACTAAAAATGTAGCCAAAGAGTACACTGCTCCCTTTGTAGCTATTAAGACAGAAACAAGAGTTAATAAGACGATAAAAAAGCGTGTTTTAAAAACAAATAAAGCACCTCTACCACTATGTCCCGAAGTGCCTCCGGGTCTAGGTAATTATTACTTAAATTTAAAGTGTACTTTTTTATTTCCAACACTAAAATTAAATTGAACAGACAAACATCAAATTTCACACATGACGGGTACAATCCCGTTTTATATAATATTTCCATTTATCTTTTAAAATCTATGACCTTAAATGAATACATATTTAACAATAAGGGTTTGTTGTTTGTCAAATAATTAAAAATGTTTTACATGAAATAATTTCGATTACACTAGTTTTATTGAAAAAACATATACACATACATTCATGTTGGTTTAGTCTAGTAAGATAAAAAAGCTATAATTTTGTTTGATGTTTTAAATCTGTAAATCATCATCTCCAGTTTTGTTTATTGTTTCAGGGCCAATTGAAGTGAATAAAACTGAATTATATCTAGATGATATTGAAAAAAAAATCCCTGAAGTCAAATTAGGTGGACAGTATACGCCTCCGAATTGCACCGCAAGGCATAAAGTTGCAATTATAGTACCTTATCGGTAAGTCTTCCAAATTATTGCGAAAGATTTCATAGAAAACACTTAACTTGTTCAAACTTCTATTTGAGTCAATGAATGACGGATCGAATGACTCGAATGTCAGCTTGAGTGTAATGACAATGTGTAAGAGTACTTTGGTAGAGAAAATACGAGGTAACAAGAAGATATTATTTGTTTAAAGGCGCTCTCTTAGAAACTATTATATATTTAACACCCTAAATATTGAATTTCATCGGACTAGCAGCGAAATATAAATACTTTAATTTTGGATCATATTTGTGTGATTTTCTTCAAATAACTTAACAACTCTTAATTTAGCGCGCGTCGCTGCGCAGAACACAATTTTAAGGTACGCGTCCGTTAGCCCACGCCGGACGCACTGCCTGCACGGATTAAACAAATTTGCTTTGATGCGATGCGGGCGGTGTGGATTATGGACGCAGCGCTTTGTAAAGTTATGTAAAGCGAATTAAAATCCGTTACGGGCAGTACGTGCGGTGCGTCCTACGCGGGCCAATGGACGCGTACCTTTAGGCGTAGAAGGATGCGCGCCGAAGACCTTGCCGTCAAGTTATTTGAAATTACTTATACTTTATTAAGTATTTTCTTATACAGAGATCGAGATCAGCATTTGCGCATCTTTGTAAATTACATGCATCCATTTCTGATGAAGCAACAATTAGAATATGGGATATTTATTATAGAACAATATCGTAAGACATAATTCACATATATACCTAGTGTGTATGTACTTAGAGGCATTATCACATGTGAATTCAGGACCACAATCCACGTTGTGAAGTTAAAAAAAATTCCACGAAAATCGTAATTTTTCAAGGATAAAAAGTTGCCTATGTTCTATTTCAGATTTTAATCTGTATACGTTTCAAATTTCATCCAGATTCGCTCAATTATTCTGTAGTTATCGGATAATAAAATATTCGTTAAAATTTTCGCATTTTTAATTGTGATATAAAGTGTCAGGTGACATGATTAGGGAGGAAGTAGCGACTGAAATACTAAAGATATGACAAAGACTTTCTTCATTATGTTTTTTCTATAGGATACAAATCTTTTAATAGAGCGAAGTTGATGAACGTAGGATTCGTGGAAAGTCAGAAACAAAAGGCGGGCGGATGGCAATGCTTTATATTCCATGATATAGATCTGCTGCCACTGGATCAGAGGAACTTGTACCAATGCCAAAAAGATCCCCTTCATATGTCCGTATTGATAGATAAATTTAATTATAAGTAAGTTTTTAACTTCACTGATATAATAAAAATTAAATCTATACGAAGCTAGCGTAGCTGAAAAGGAAAAACTAAGTTTTAAAATTTTTGTCTGTCCATCTGTACGTCTGTCCGCAAAGCCGTGTTTGAACCGGGCTTGACTTTGACTGGAAGGTAGCTTCAGCACGCGGGAATATTTTAGGCTATAGATACTTTTTTAAATTCTTTGCTGACAATCAATCTCAATCAATCAAATTAAGGCCGGCAACGCATCTGCGGTTCCTCTGGTATTGCTGGTGTCCATGGGCGTCGTTGAACACCTCGGTGTTCCCGCTGCTCGTTTGCCCCCTTCTCATATAAAATAAAATCATTATGTTTAAGGGTACAGAATGTTTTTGGCGGCGTGTCAGCCATGACATTGGAACAATTCACAAAAGTAAATGGATACTCTAATAGATATTGGGGATGGGGTGCCGAAGATGATGACATGTTTAGAAGGTATACAAAATCAAGTCGAAACTGGATAAGCGAACGTCCAAGGGACTGTTATTTTTTCTCGCTTATAGAGGTTTTTTGCTTATCCAATTTCTTAAAAGCAAACTACGGTCAATCCTAAGATTTACCGTAGTTTGATTCTTATATTATTCTTATGTAATTTTAATAGATAATATTAATAATATTTATACAGAGTACAGAAGGTATTCTACGGCTTTACAAGATATGCCGATTTAGTAATTACAAAATACATTATGTTAGACCACGAGCAAAGCTTCAAAAACCCTTTTAGGTGAGTTTTGTTTCATATATGAACTTAATTTTTGGTTATTCTCATAAACAAGACTGAAAGAACTTTACTAGTTTATTTAGTATGTATAGACCGACAAAGATATCTGCCACGGTGGGCATAACTATGGCCAAATTATAACAACTCACTAGCGCCGCTGTCAATGTCAAAAAGTATGAAAGTTCGTTGTTGTGATGTAGCCAATAAAGGAAACATACAAGCCAGCTTTTTTTGTGCCTAAGTAGGTTTTATATATTTTGTGACGGAGCTAACCGCAATAGCACCGTCTCTGTCACCAGGCCAGATATCCTTGTTTGTCTGCGAGTTTGTATATAAATTACACTGTAGCATTAAACCTACTACGACGAATTAGGTCATTCAACTTTTATCGAGGAATTTCATTACTGTACTTTTTATCTTACTTCTTATTAATATTATAAATGGATGCATGTTTGATGGTATCTCCAGAACGGCTGCATGGATCTCGCTGAAATTTGGCATAGATGTAGAGGATACTTTAGAACAAATAGGCTATTTATCAAGTTTGTTTTAAATTCCGCGCGAAATAAGTCGCGGTCGACAGCTAATGATTCATAAATGAATAATTACTTGATTGAAATTCATTACAGATTAGAACTGTTATCGCAAACGTGTAAAACAATGGATAAAGATGGACTCTCGTCACTGAATTATGAAGTAGTGAGCCTTGTCAAGCATCATCTATACACGCTTATTACTGTTGATATTGATAAACCAACGGCCCATAGGTACAGTATCGTAACTAAAAATAGCCAGTTTTCAGGACGACTGTTTGAAGTTGGTGTTTGGAATGTCTTTTTAATTATAAGTGTGATTTTAACAAATTTCAGACTAATATAATCATTAAGTAATGGTTATATAAAGTAACAAATCAAATAAAACATAATAAGTCATTGAAATTTTCAGCTAGATTAGTTTCTTACATTATGTACGTATATTTCTGGCCTATCGAAGCTGTTTTATTACGTTGGTGTCCTTCATAACCTTTTAATCGAATATTAGTTTCGTGTTCATGTGAAAATGTACATTAGATAATAAAAAAAATTGCAATTTTTCAGTTCCGATACTGTACCTAAGGGCCGTCGAAACGCAAATGACATTCCTTAGAGCAAGGACAGCGCCGCGCAACTTCACTGCACGGCTCTATATGAACGTAGTTACCCATTACTAAGTTATAAATATAAAGGTCATCGCTCATTACATTAACACGATAGCGTTTCAGTGTTAGTGCGTCGTGCATTCCGTGAGGTCCACTCGTAAATGACGGGCAAAGAACGTGCCCATTTAGCAAGCAAGCTTCTTCAACTGTTTTGCATGCTAGATCAACGTCGTGTAATGGACGATGACCTTAATTTAACTCCAATCACTTGAAGTGAAGTTTAGTATTGTCAAGTAAACAATATGACCTTTAATTTATTTCTGTCAAATATATTTCAGTTGAAAAAATAGTGAGTTATTGTAGTAGATAGTAAGCCTAAATAAATAGTTATATGTAACTTTAAATTGAATCAAATTTGGAAACTAAACATGTAATTATATTAATGAAGTAAAGATTCTCTTTATTTATTAAATGCACAACAGATTTAATTTAGTTATTACAATTAATTGTTGTTTGGGAAAAATGTAACAAAATCAATGAAATTTATTCAATAAAATACTTTTCCATTGTATTGTTCCAATTTAATTTTTGCATATAAAAATATTTTAAGGAATATTTTGTAAACATCCATTTAAATTATGCGTAATAAAATGCAAATGCAAATTTTAAAATGGTATTTAATTTTTAGTTACGTTACCTACCGTACCGTTACCTGATTTCGAGATCTAGAAATAAAAAAAGAGATAGGCGTGTTTTAAATAGTAGCTTTTTTTTACTCTAAAGTATAAGTTATTGATTTTTCTATTTGTAACATTAATAACACATTCTGGAACGGGACGAATTTCAGTACTTAATAAAAAAGGATGAACAAAATACGTAAAATATAATTTCAATTTAATATTGGTATATTTATTATTTCACAATTTGAATTTCTGCGAAATTTCATTTAACGATATAAATAGCCGAGCTTTGATAATTTTCATATAGAAATTGCTCGCTTTATTATTTGTTAGTTACAAAGGAGGCTTTTGATAACTATGTGGCTATTAAATATATGAAATTTGTGGCCGCTGTCCTTTTGTTTGAAAATGCATCCAGTATTAAACGCGACTTGTATTTCATAGCGTGAAACTTTTTTTAGTGACGTAATCAAATTAATACTTTGGTTACTGAAACAAAGATATGTTTCATACGGATGTTGGTCTTAGAAACCCACCAGTATAAAAAAACATGCCAATGCCTTTCATTGATGTATCAAAATAATCTTTGACCTATTTTTTATGTATTTGTATGTTAACCTGAACATATCTATTATTTACAAAGAGATTAAAAATAACGGCAACGTAAATTATATAAGTGTTTTGAAAGTTTAAAGGAAAACAGATAATTTGCAAAAAGTAACAATTTTACTTTAAAATATACGAAATATAAAAGTTATTTTCATATTAAAATATCCATGTAGTTGCAACTTCATGCAAATATTTTACGCTAGCGTAAAAGTGGCGAATAACTTTGCATTTTTTAATTCTTACTTATTGAGTTTTTTTCGCAGACCGCACGAATTTAATTTAAATGGTATAAATTTTTAATTTAAAATTTCACATGTTTTAATGTAACATTTTTTCTATGTTTAAAGTTTTCTTATATAAACATTTAGTTTGCATTTTTAACTGGCACATTAAGTCAAATGGAAAAATAAAATGTTTAAAACTGGCTTCAAGCAAGTACTTATATTAAGGTCAATGAACTTCATTTGGTAATTTGAAACGTTACGTTAATTGGTAAATGAGTGATATGTATGAGTTGATTATTTTATAAAATTCAATCGTTGTTTTACCTAAATTCATATAATATTATCTAGCTTACCTTAAAAAAATATTTTTTAATTTTAAATAAATAATTCTGTCTAATAACTTCAGTAACGTATTTCTTACTTAAATTCGAACAGGCAAAGTCATTACTCAGTTATCCTGAAAATTCTAGAATAAAAATTCTAATTTCATTCTGTAGATTTAACAGAAACGTATCGGATAAACGAAGTGCTTTTAAAATTAAATTATCTTTATGTTAATTTAAACGATTCGTCGCAAAAATGAACATTACCACGATTCGCGGAATACTTCGGTATGCCATCTGAAATCAATCCTTTATCATTTTCACGTATCTGTGATCTGTTGTGTCGGAGACCAAGACCCACTTGGGTTTTGTTTGTTTGTTTTGGAATGGTATTTGAATTAACGTTTTTATCCATTTATATAATCATAAATCGCCTACGTAAAAACACAGCAACTCCGCTCCGCATTACTTCCTCACTCCGCTCCGCAGCCTCGCTCCGCTCCGGTGGACAGTCACAGTACGCAACTCCACTCCGCATTAGTCCGTTTCTCGGCTCCGCTGCCTCGCTCCGCTCTGGTGGACTGGCAGCCTTAGACATCATTGGTTAAAATCCTTTGGCGCGAATGGCGCGCGTTACAAAGTAAATGTCAGAATTATTAGTGAGGGGATTTTAGTAAGGCTAGTGTTGCGCCAATACACCGTCGGTACAGTACAGTGTCGGATTTTCTTCCTAACAGTAGTAACAGAAATAACAAAATTTACGCTATAGATAAAAAGTACTTTTATAAAATAATAATTTGTTCAGATCCATTAGGGAATATAACAATATCTTGTTTATTTCAAAACACAATAATGTTTCAGAATTTATACTTGGAAATTTGAATGTATTCAAAAACATTTCACTCTATCCGCTCAGAGCAATCAGTCGTATTACACCCACGCTTACTGTGAACTTCCACTGCCTTGCTTTTTGCAATTAAGATATATTGCCGTCTCTTTTCTTTCATAGAGAATGACAAGGACGGTAGTATGTTTTATATAACGTGCGTCGGCAGTGGATTTCTACGCTTACAATTTAGACAACACTGCGTGGGTGTTATAGAATTATACTGAAATGTTCTACTCGAACATAATTTCAAACATCTATTTCATTCAAGTTTTACGCCGAATTCTATTAATAATATAAGGGTTGTTGTACTGTTTTAAAAGCCTGTTTAACAATGTCCAAGTAAAGTACTGGGTAACTATAAATTACCTAAATAATTATTATTTTAGAAACTTTGAGATGTATTTTGGAAAATGTAGAAAAAGAAAACCTTTTGTTAAAACCTTCTCACCGTGGGTTTCTGAGACAATTTTTTTTTTAAATATCTCTGTTTCGTCAAAGATAATATGTTCTATATAGAGATTTTAATCTGTGTAACCAACAGTTTAACCTAATTTAAAGTTCTTCACCAAGCTAAGATGTAAAGCCGCTGAAAAATAATTATTAAAAAGCATTCACAGACGACTTTGTCAAAAAAATTTAAACTTATAAAAAAGTTCATTAAATAAAAATCAAAATCCAATTTAGTCACGGAGTTGCTTAATTCGATTAAACTTTGCAGCTGTCGTTCTGAGTTAACTCGTAATCGATCAACCAACTTCTTTTGTCATGAATTTTGTAAAGAATATTTTGAATACTTTTTATAAGCCGACTTATTACACGCCAGTGATTTCATAACTAGTTTGGACTTTGTTATGAATATTTTTACTCATACTAAAGACCTCGCCCGGTGTCGACGCATTAACGACGAGTAGACACCTCGTGGACGCTGCGATGAGTCTCTAGTGGGTGATATTCGTATGATAATAAGCAATAACTTTATGTTTCAAATTTTATATTTTATGCACAATCTAACACTATAAATGCGAATGTTTAGATGGATGGATGGATAATTGTTAGAAGGTATCTCTAGAACGATTCCATGGATCTTGCTAAAATTTGGCATAGATGTAGAACATAGTCTTGAAGGACTACTAATTAAGTTTTTTTTAACACTTCGCGGACGGAGTTGCGGGCGACAGGTAGTGTTTCATAAATACAAAATAAATATTGAAATCGTTTTACCATTTAAAGACGTATAACATCTCAAATATGCGAGCGTAAAAATAAAATATAACGGCGTAAATGGAGACACGAAAAAGTTGACATAGCAAATTGGAAGTCCGCGGCAAGAGATAGACTGAGGTGGAAAAAGTTGCTGGGCCAAGCCAAGGCCCACAAAAGGCTGTAGAACTAGGAGAAGTAGAAAAATAAAATATAGCATCTACTAATCTTTTAATATGTTCAAGTTATGACTAAGCTGAGCTTTTGTTATGGAAATATATTGCGGTTGCCTGCAAATGGGATGGGAAATTAAGCGGGTTGAGATCACAAAGGACTTCCCTTACCTTTCGCATTGGAAGATTTATGAAGTTAACCTATACGCGTTAGGCCGCGCTAATACATTCCGTTTACCTAATGTAATCCTGTTAACATCTTTATTAATTAATTTCATCATCCTTTTGTATAAATCATTGCAGAGTTTATTTTAGTTTATAATAAACTAGCTTTTGTCAGTGTCTTCGTCCATGCGTGATTATAAAACTTAGTAAGTAGCCTATGTGTTCTCCCAGATTAGTAATGTAATTTCTATGTGATTGTTCAACAGAAATTTAAGGTTAGTTGTGGTAACTGTATATTTTGTAGACTACTAAAAACCAATGAATATTCAAATAGAATTGAGTATTACTTTTAAAACATGAAAAATTTGAGCATGTGTTTTAAAATAAAATATTTTTTGTCTATTCACAAAAATATCTTGCCAGTATCTTACGTAGTCTTTAATGCTATTGTTATGTTTAACATAGAGGGTGTTAGAGAAAGATATGGAATGAAAAAAATACTAGAAAGATATCAAGCAAGGTCTAGGTAATGTAATTTTCTTATTCTCTTGAATTAGAAATAAGCTTTAAAATTTTAAAGCTTTGCTTTTCTAACATTGCAACGTAAATAAATAATTATCAGCACAAATAAGACATAAGAGCTACGATTTTCTTTAAAGAGAAACGTGTACAAGATATGAATTTTATATCATATAGTTTTCGCCCGCGACTCCGTCCGCGCGGAGTTAAAAAAAACTTAATAAGTAGCTTATGTGTTCCTAAAGACTATATTCTACATGTGTGTCAAATTTCATTAAAACCGTTAAGCCGCTCCGGAGACACATTCAAGCAAACATACATCCATCTAAACATTAACATTTATAATTAAAAGTAACTTATATTAAATCGTAAAATGTTTAGATAAATCGTAACACAAATCAAATGTTGCCAATTTACTTGACAAATAAACAATACATAAATCGGACTCGAAAGGTAACTCTAAATATCTGACACAATTCGCCAACCGTTGTAAATCAGACCCCAATCAATAAAGATTGGTGATCTCCCCAATAAATGTCAGGCAACTGATGTAGGCTTAAGCTGTAAATAAGGTTATATTATTTCGTTACTATAAATCTAAATAAAATAAAAAAAATGTTTTCCAGTTAAAAATAATTAGCATTTACAACGTTTCATTAATAAACTAGCGATCGATCGCGA